CGAGGCTGGGCCGCCAAAAAAAAAAAAATTAAAAGAATTAAGCGGTCACGGTTTTACAGCACTGCCTCTTTCCTCTCACTGAGAGGTAACACTGGCCTTGCCCCTGCCACATGCTCCCGAGAGAGCAGCGGCCAGCCTGAAAGCGGTAGGAGAGCAGAAGATAAGTTACAGGTCACCTGTGGATCAGAAAGGGGCTTTTTAGAGGAGGCCAATTTCCCGTTTTGGAAATGGGAAAAATGAGGATGGGCACAGTGCCTCAATGAGGCAGAATACGCCAGCTGCAGAGATGGGAAAAGGAGTATGTGTATGTATGTATTTATATATATTATATATAAAACCCCCAAATATATTAGTGTATGTATGCACACACACATATATATATATAAAAATTATGAAGTCTTCAGTCTCTCAGTCTTGCCTCTCTCTCTGTTATGCTCTGCTTTTAATAACAAAACACTTGTTCTCGCCTCTTCCGCTAGCTTTATTCAGTGTCTCTGACAAGACTGGTCTGGTGGACTTTGCAAAGGTTCTCAGCTCTCTCGGCCTGGGTTTAATCGCCTCTGGAGGAACAGCCAAATCCCTGAGAGATGCTGGCCTGACTGTCAGGTAAGGACTACCTCTTATAAATCCCTCCCCACCCCCTTAAAATTTCATCAGGTAGTTTAAATTGTTTTCTTCACTCGTAAGCACAAATGATTGAAGGCTGCAGACAGGAAAAATGCTATCTGTAAACAAAATCCCCCCCTCCAAAGGCAAGTTTCAGAATCTTTCTTCTTGGCCAGAGGTAGGTCAACCAAGGCCAAAGATTGTTACTGTGCAGGATGGTGCGCAGCGACCAGCAGAGGTGTAAGACCGTTGTGCTGCAGATGGTTTGTCAGCTTTGAGCCAGCTTTCCTCCCCGGAGGCAATCATTTGTCCTAAAATTCATAAGCTGGCCCTAGTGCTGCTCTTTGCCCCAGGTCTGGGCAGAGATCAGCTTTCACCTGTCTGCAGGAAGAGCGAAATGTGTCAGAAATGTGTTGAAGCTCGTTGTAGATCATTTGTCACAAATCATTTTCCCAGCATGATGGTCATGTTTCTTGGAGAGCGCCTGTGAGTGCTGTGCATCCAGCGCTTGAGAAGAGGCATGAACAGTCACTAGCTGTTTTGGCCCTTGATTTGGAGGAGTTGGGGGGGGGGGGGTTATTCCATGCTGCGATTCAAAAACAGCTTCAGCCAAATAAAAGTTGTTTCCAGTACAGTGCTGAAAAATCTGTCAATTACGTGGCATGACAGATGACTCTCCGTGGCTCCTTTTTGCTTCCACTGAATGTAGTGATAGGCCCCTGAGACACGTCGGCATGAATATACAGAGCCTCCAGAGTTCCCTGTTCTCTGTTACAAAGCACTTGGTCTTGTCTGCCTCGCCGCTTTGGCTGTGCATCAGTGAAGGCTGAAGCAAAGTATAGTCACGTTTCTCCTTTTACCCCCAATTTGTGGTTCCTTCTCCGTCATACACAGTCACAGGGAACGGTGAGACTTTAATGCTTAGGCTGAGCTGGGAAGAAGACTACTGAGATATTAGAACTGTGTTTCAGAGGAGGGATATAACGCTTCGTAGTGCAAATTGTGTTCTGGACTTCTGTGCTGTGTTTCTGTTAACTGCAGTCTTCGGTAGCCCCTAGCATGGACTGTAGCTTTCTGATGCGGTAAGGTGGCACGTGTGTTCAGAGCCTCTGAGCACCACTGTAACTTGCATTTTGGGGTAGTTCTTGGGAATGCCCCTCCTATCGAAAGGCAGTGTGTTTCTAAGTCCTCTTGGGTAGTTTTAAACATCCTCTCCCCTTCCCCAAATGTCTCCTGTGTTAAATAATGATGTTTTATCTGTCTACTAGATCTTCTCCAGATGTCTGCTTGGAGGGTCTTGAGGTCTTTATCCCTTTTTCCCTTCTTAGAATCCAAAAGGAAATAAGTCTGGTTTGAGATCTGTCCTGTGCAAGGCTGGTCACTTCATTTGCCTAAAGATTCCCAGGGGCTAGAAACCGTTTCGAGGTTTAAGTGAAAGGAAACCAGGTCCAACTGTTGTGTACTGTCAGTGAGGAGAGTCGCATCTTGATTTGCCTAGGTCACCCTCTGAAGGTACCTTTCTCCTTACCATGAGTCTAACGCGGCTATGCTCGTAACTTGGGCGCCTCAGGCAAGGTGAGGTCAGACCTTAGTGTCCAGCTCTTGAATCATGTACGTACTGGGATGTATGGATGTTCCTCACTGACACAAGCGTGGCGTGCCTATAACTTGCAAAGTGTCTGTGTCTGCCCACCTGCTGAATAAGCAAACTGCTGTTGTAGGGGAAGTGAAGGAGGGCTTAAATACCGAGTATACAGCAATACCGGATGGATGCAGGGCTTGCAGAATTGATGCAGAATGGTTGCTCCAGGAGCAGAATGTGTGGTTTACCCTAAATCATACTTGTCACCTTCATCCAGTTAAGAATATCCTTGAACCTGCAGAATAAAACTGAGATTCTGTTGTGAATTTGGAAGTCTGACCCCTTGAGTAGAAAGAGGGGAAACTGTAAATATCCTAAGCAAAACAGTCAATCATCTCATGTCCTGATCAGCTTTGAGGGTAGCATTTTTCGAAATGGATGAGACACAAGGTCCAAAGTGAGATCAGTGCTTTGGAAGGTCATCTTACAGAAACAGATTTACGTAATGCCTTTAGACCTATTTGAGAAGCCCAGAACTCATCTCTCTGTATCTATGGCTCTCCACAGTTCTGCTTGTTAGCACATTATTGTTTAGATCCTTTCTCTGCATGTGATTCTCTTCTTTCTGCCATTTTGTTTACTTTATCTCCTCTGCTGAACTCACTATAACTACGTCAAAATCCGTTTGGGACAGGAGGGCTTTTAAAAGCTGCCATTGCTTTAGCACAGTAATCTGACCTTTCTGATCAAGACAGCACAGGGGATGATGTTTGTCACCATCCACTTCCTGAGTAGTCGAGATGTTGAGCTGTGGCTGTGAACAGACACCTCTCTAAAATGTTGTCTCTTAATAGTGTACCTTAATATGGCAGCTATGACTGTCTCCTTTTTTTTGCTCTACGCAGCTTGATCTCAGAGTGCAATTGGGTTAGCTCATATTGAATTATCTAGTCCTTGTCTTTTAAGATAAGTAATTATTGTCAGAGAATTCACACTGTTCCTTTTGAGGGTGGTCTTTCACCCTGTAAACCATTGACTTGGAATTGGCTTATCTCGGTTATTTCAGTGTAAAAGTTCACTCACCACAGTGTAAAAGGTCACTCACCAAATAACCCTGCCGCTTAGTTTAGTGTGATCCGTGTGTTTTGTTTTCATTCATGAGAAAAATAGCTGCTGCCTATAGGATTTGGGGAGCTTTTGTTTGTTTGGTTTGTTGGTAGTGAAAGTTATGCAAGCTGTTGTTTTGGGTTGTGTATTGGACAACAGTATACTTTGTCTTCTGTTTTGTCAGCTATAGCTTTTACATGGGATATGGACAGCATCTTACTAAGTGTGAGTGAGCATTAAACCAACACTTCGACCATTTCTACTAATGGTTCTATACCTAGTAGCATTTTGCTATGTAGGTGTCAGATGCCAGCCATAACAAAAACAGTCAGATCTATCTGAACATGGGATACTTTCTGAGAACTACTTCTCAGCCGTTCATAAGAACAATGCATCATAGTCTGTTACCCAGCATAACATTTTTCCTAACAATCCGGTGATATGCTTTCCATATGTTTTGTTCTTACAGAGATACAAGATACTGAAATTTACAGGAATCATGCATGTCTCTGCCATTCTCCTGTCATTGATGGAAAGCTGGTGTTTTTTGTTTTTTTTTGTTTTTTTTTTTTAAACACACAAACCAAAATAGAATTGCTACATTTAATTTTCCCCCTTCAAAACTTCTAGGGTTTAAGTCTCCTTCCAGTAAAACCAACATTGCCAGTAGATTTAAATTGCTGCCACGATAGGAGTAACGAACATTCAGCCTACAGATAAAGTCAGTATGAGATATCCATTGCCATGCTGTGTTTTCTCATTGAGCAGAGATGTATCGGACCTGACGGGGTTCCCTGAGATGCTGGGTGGACGTGTGAAAACCCTTCATCCTGCAGTCCATGCTGGTAGGTTTTTACTGATGTGTTTTCCGTCTAAAACAAAACTCTGTGGGCAGTGTAGGTGGGAAGAAGGGATTGATGGATATCTTTTTAAGGGTTGGGTAGAAGAATTGATTAGTGAAAACAGATTTGCTGTAGCAGCAGAATGGGAGATAAAATGTGTGGAGTGGAGAAGAAATATGCAGTGGCTGCACTGCTTTCTCCATTTCTGTATTGACATCTATGCAGTTAGCAGAGCTTTTCCTCCATGGAGTTGCAAGTAACAGGGCTTTGCAGGAACTGC